GCTCGATCCCAGGACCCTGGGACCATGACCTGAGCCGAAGGCAGACGCTTAACGACTGAGCCACCCAGGTGCCCCTGGAAAATGGTTTCTGAACCAAGTCTTCCACACAAGGGGGGCAGCCGTGGTGCCGAGACCTGTTCTCAAGATGTGTTCCTTATGTCTTGTGTTCTTTTATTCCTAACGCTTGAAGAAACAGAGCGGGCCCATGTCGCCCACGCTTTGGACCGGGAGCCAGAAGCCTCAGACTCCTGAGGCCCTTTGTGAGGCCGGCCCCCTTTAAGCGGTAGATGGGGAGAAGCCATCCGGCTGCTGCGACTGTATCCAGTTTACACCCGGTCACCTGAGTCTGAGAGAAGGTTTTTGGCCCCGAGTATTTTGGTAGTCATTAACAACAAACTAGAAAGACTGTTTTGAGAAGACACGCTCTTTGTTGGTAATCTGTTGGGAAGTTTTTGCATCTTTTAGTGAGCCAGGGCTTTAGTAAAGCCCTTTGTAATTCATCTTCAGGTTAGCTGTGAAGAGCCAAGGGAAGCACTTCTTCCCCTCTGGGAATTAGAGCACATGGGGACAGTGCGCCCACATTAGGCGGCCCGTGTGGAAATACTAGGAGCGGCGGAGGTGCGGGCTCCATCGGTGTTTGCTGACGGTTAGCGCTGATGAAGCGGACTCCCTAGATCGTAAGAGAGTGACACAGAGTGAAGGCAGCTGTAAAAACACCAGGCCCAGAGTCTTCTGCATTTTTATGTGAGAATAAGTGCACATCCCCAGGGGGCTGCCAGGGGTCAAAACAGTCCTTTTTGTGGAGTCACATAGCAAAATCCAAATCTCTAGAAGGTTAACATTAGCTAATTTATTATTTAGGTATTTTCTAGTGTTCTTTGGACAAAACAAGTCCATATAACAAAGATTGGAGTGCTTGCCAGGTGCCTGGGACTCCTCAGAGCTGAATATTTGGATGTTCTGTATTTGGCACATGAGTATCATGCCTTGATTTATTCTGAAAATGATGTACATTTAAACGTTTACAACTTGGAAATATAGATGTCTTGAGGGTTTTGTGGAAGTCTTTCAGGATAACCTGGCTTGTCCCCTGGAGCATGCCGCTCTCCCTATGCCACCTTTCCACCCGCTGAGCCCGGGCTCTGCCCTCAGGTTCCCGAGAGCAGGCAGGGCTGAGTGCCCAGTGTGTGCCGGTGGTTGCTGACGGAGAGGGTCTGCTGCCGAGTCTTCCATTTTGTCCTGGATGTTGGGCTCCCCTTACGCCTTTAGGTAAGATACCAACTCACTTTCTGAAAATTGTTTTTTTGGTTTGTCTTTTTCAAAAATGTTTTATTTTACTAAGAAATTCACAAGGCCTAAAACAGTTTTAAAGTGTATAGATCAGTGGCATTCTGACTTACTTTTTTTTTTAATGTCTTTTTTTTCTCGTGGTAACAATACACATAACACAAACTTTCCCATCTTAACTGTTTTTAAGCGTGTAGTTCGGTGACATCGAGCACATTCATGTTTGCTGTGCGGCTCTCACCTCTGTCTGTCCCCAGAATTCAAGTCTTGTTTTTTTTTTTTTTTTTAA